TTTTTGTGGACTCTGACCCAATCATTAATCAGTTAAATTGACCATACAATTACATAACATGATAATAACAGAAAATTTTAACAGCACTGTTATTTATTTACTCTGTGACTCTTTGCCAACAAATAGGTTAGTCGAGTGGGTCTTAAGGCAACCGCTAAGCAAGGAGGTTTTGCAAGCGCCAATCAAAGAGTTTTGCGTTTCATTCACTCCTAATTCATGGGACTCATAAGATAATAACATTATTTTTGTTAAAACTGTTTCCTATAGTGTATTGGTCCATCACGAGCATTAATTGTCTCGAGATAAAAAAATGGAAAAAGTTCTTAATCCATCGTAACAATTAAATCTGTACTCTAATCACTTAACATACGGCTTATAATTGAACCAGTTAAACCGAGATCTCTATAATGTCTGATATAGTTGACGCCCTTATCACATGTTCCATGCTTCACTACGACCTCTCATCTTTTAGTTCCTTTTACAGATGGTAGGGGCGCTGTTAAAACTTATAGAAAATGATTTCGATAGCGAGATGAAAACCTTTTCGATAGTTTTCGTGCTTAGTCCTCAGGACCTATTTACGATATTACAGATTACCTTTGCCACTGAAATGAGATGAAAATAGTCTAATCTAAGATTTGTATAGTTAGAATTGAATGTCACTCCCTTACCTCTTATTACATGGGACTCTTAACTATATTGGTAAATAGTAATTGTTACATTTAAAATTTAAAATATGCATCTCTGTCGAGACGTTTTAAAATGTATTAATCTGTCATCTCCACGCTTCTTCTTCATACGAGTTAGAGACCTCAGCTTAATCCCTAAAAGGCCGATAACGCATTTGTAACGCTTCTGGTGTTCCGGGTGTCCATGGGTGACGCCGATTGCTTACCATCAAGTGAACGACATGCTCATTTACCGACTTATACCTTAAAAATATCAGGTATTCCTTCTTTCAATGAATTGTTGACTCACCTCATTTTTAATTATTAAAGTTTATAAACCATTTTACAACTTACATCGTAACAAACCAGATTTTTATTTCAAATTTGTATTTTATAAGAAGGTATTTTTTCCAAAGAGTTTAAATACGTCAGCCTTAGAAATACGTCAGCCCTATTATCGAATACAAAATTCGATACATAGTTACTTACTAAAATAAAGCAGCTAAACCGTTAATAGGTATACCTAGCCCTTAAGCTTAAACATATAATAACTAAACGATACAATTTTCTAGCCTCAGATGGCAATGGTGACGCTAAAAATAACAAAACAGTTCTATACACAATTTGTATTGATTATTCGGAAACTGAAAGTAATGAGATACACAATATACAGCCTTGTACCCTCATTATCCCTCCTTAATGGCGCTAAAAGTGATAAATATCTCTCATCAAGCCTTTTATATAGTAATGAGACCGATGACTATTACTTTACGAATTCACAATTGAGACCCAATTGATTTCAATGTTTAATTAGACAGTGAAGTTACCACCTCTACTCTTGACGTGGGTATCATAAAAAACTATAGATTTTTCCAGCGGTTTCGTCCGTGTTCCCGTGTATAAAAATAGCCTAAGTGTTAATCCAAACCATAATGTATGTCGCGGAGAACCTAACAGGTTACCGGAGCTCCAGCTCGATGTGCAGGAGAAGGAACAGGGTGGTTTTTAGGCAGTAAGAGTCTGACACTCCCTCCCGCCTCACCCAGGCGGGAGCAGTCATTCGATGATTTTTCCCCCTTAAAAAAAACCATAATGTACACGTGTTCCAAATTCCATCCCGGCTTACTGCTGCGTGAGCAGACGTCATGCATTCTTAAATGTTCTACAGTCGGTGGCGCTGTGGACTGAGTCGCTCCGTTCCCTACGAAATGGTTAATCGGACCGATTGCTGGCCTTCACGTCATGCTCGTGAACGGGCGCCTTCTGCTGGAGCAGGTCGGCTCGCTCATCGCGCGTGTGGGCCGATCCAGTAAGGTTAATATAAATGTAATAAAACATGTATTGTGAATGACAAGGGCACGGACAAGAGTCCGTGGAGAATCAGAAATGTAATATTAAAAAAAAAAAATCCATCCCGATCCCTTCAGCCGTTTTGACGTGAAGGATTAACAAACAAACAACAAACATTCGCATAAAGTACAGCGGCGCTTAAAGGTGCTCCCTCACCGGGAACATTCACGTGTAATGTAACATTATAGATTCGACTTTGATCATTACATTACAATAATACCTCCCTGACTAACGAGCATTTGCGTGTAATGTAACATATAGATTCGACTTTGAGCATTTCATAGCAAGATGTCAGATGAAGCGGCCGGGCGGGGGGCTGGGAGAAGTGGAGCGCATTGATGTTACAAGTTGTATTAGGATATTACACACTATATCATTACAAGATGCGCATTATAATGCTCGGTTCTCCGCCTTCACTGATGTAATGCTCAGATCTGTAATGTTACATTACACGGGAATGCTCCCGGCGAGGAAGCACCTTTAAGATAACCCAGAATCTCTTAAAATTCAATTTCGTTATCTACCTACTGTGTTTAAAATATCTAAATTTCATGATAACATGTCGCCTAAACATAGTAAATTAGTCGACTATTTACAAAACGGATTTACTTGTCATCTGTCAAAGTAAACACACACAAGAAATTAAATTAACACAGCGTTTGAAATCCTCTTCGAAGTTAGATTGATTACGACTGTGTTCTAAATTCTAAACGTTGTAGTTTTATAGTAGGGGAGCTCGCGACGAAATTTTGTAATTACTAAAATACTCAACCGAGCTACTGCTCGAACGCATCAGATTAATATTTTATGGGGATTTCCTAGTGACCTCTTGAATATCTACCATACACCTGATACAGATAGAAGGATGATCAAAATAGGTAATAAAAAAATTATCCATTTCGCCAGATTAAGAAGGTTTTTTTATGGGATAAGCCAGTGGAACACCAGAGGCATTACAAGTGCATTACCGGCTTTTTGGGGATTAGGAATGTGAGGATTGTTGGGGATTGGGGAGATTGGGAGAGAAGGGGGGAGGGGGAGTTATTGGGCATCCGGTAACCTCACTCTCACGGTTACACGGTTTATTACAAGCTTAAGGAAATGCATTTACGCTTAACAATGTTGAAGAATAAAAAAATAAAAAAATCATACACCATATTTTTTTCTTTATACCACCAAAATCTTCAAAATCCTGTAGGATATATAGAAGGCTAAAATAAATCCAAATTTAGCATTATTGGCTATAAGGCTTAAGTGAATCCAAATTTAGCATTGTCGGCTCTTCTACTATAAACCGGAAATCGTGTTAATAGAATCGGTATAGAACTGATAAATTGGGTGTTGGAGCAAATCAAGGCGTGAATACAAAAGTTGGGTGAGTTGAAGTAGTGCAATCAAGTCAGAAACAATATTATGGCAGTAAATTATTTTATGAAATAATTTGTTCTACTAGTTGTTGCAATGCCTAGAAGCCATTATTCACCATGAAATCTATTTAGTTATCGTCCCGAAGTAAAATGGTGCTGTCTTGGTAATACAATAATTTTACAAAGAAATATAATGACAAAATTTAATGTAACTGGTGACCTATGGACCTAGGAGCAAAAAGCAATCTTCGAAAGCACATACGAACTCATAGTACATTATCAAAACATGACGCCATAGAATTCTCGAAGAAGTATTTTTCATTGGGTGGTACGTGCGATGCGAATAGTGCGTTCAAATTTATATCTATTTTTTCATGTCCGTATGTCCATGATCTTTTTTGTGTGATTAAAAAAAACTTTAATTTCTTGTTTTTACTTTACCTATACATCGAAAATACTCCTTATGGCAAGTTTTTTGCCGCAGGACGACAAAGATTTCACTGGGTAGTGTAATATTATTTACTAATGTAATTATTTACTGAAAGTATGGACATACACCAATATAGTGAAATATTATTTTAATTGTTCAATTTAGTGTTTAGAATAGATAAATCTGGCTGATGTTTTTATAATAACTATCGTGAGACATACTAAATTAACTAAAAATCGCGGGTTACTCACGTACTGAGAAAAGATCTACTAGTAGTAGTAGGCTGCGCGACATCGCCGCGACCGCGCACGCTGCTCATGGAGGAAGAAACCCTCTCTGGTTCGAAACTAGTAGAGCTTTTCTCAGTATACCACGTGTGTAACCCGCGATTTTTAGTTAAATCTGCTGACTGTCATTTTGCTTACACGTTGCCTTCTCTATTACAAAATAGGCACAATTTAATTTTGAGTTATGAAATAATTAAAGGGAAAGTAAATAATTAATAGTTTAAAAAAATAATAATATAATTTATTTTCACATATCGTAAAAAAAATTCATTAACACTAGAAAATTATACTTAAATTTAAATATTGTATTAAAAATCTCTTTGGTATCTCAATGATCATTTATGATCTGACAAATCTTACATCTCTCTTTTAGGGCCGCATATTTTTTTCTTTCTCCTCTTGTACATATTTACTTTCGCAATTTCATTAATGAAACAAAATTTACTTATTTTTAAATCAAATCAACAGCCTATAAATGCAAACTGCTGAACAAAGCCTCTTCTCACACGGAGAAGGTTTGATCATTAATCACCACGCTTGCTCAATGCGGGTTAGCGATTTCAAACTAGCCTAGGTTTCGTTGCGATGTTTTCCTTTACCTTTTGTCAGTGGTGTCTGAAAGAACATACATATACCTAACTCGGAAAAAGTCACATTGGTAATTGCCGTTGATAGGTTTCGAAACCGCACCACGACAATTTTGTTTATTTATTTATTTTATTTTACATATTTTTTCAAAATTTTTATTACTAATCATCAGTCTATCAGTCAACTTTCTAAGCCCCAACTCTCTCTGTCACTCTCCTATTCTCATTCATTTTTTTTTCTTCTTTTTTCTCCCTCCTTCTCTCTCTACATTTATAATACCTATCTCTAAAAAAGTAAAAGCCTGTTAATGTTATAATTCTTCATCAGAATCATCTAACGGTACATCGTGTTCTTCTTCCATCTGTCCTGATGAAGAGTCACTTTCTTGCAGCAATCTCTGATTGTTCTTCTGTTCTTGTAGCATTCTATGAGTTGTTCTCTGGAAGAATCCTCGCTGAAATAGATAAAAATTAATGATGTACTAGCTTTAAGTTATTTTTGGTTACTCAAGGATTACTAAGTATTAAACAGTAATGTGAGTTTTTTAGTATTTTGTTTCAAAGTAGTCATGATATACCGATGTTATTTGGCATTAAAATACATACACAGGGCTCGATAACAATTTTAAATATCGTACATAATAAAATAATTATCATAATTCTGAAATATGCAATGCGTTATCTCTATCTTCCAAAAGTTCTAAAAATATTTTAGTCACAAAGACACCTTTTTGGATATTGTTACGAGTTCATGCATTGTACATAACTTCACGCTTATCTCCCAGGGTGGTAGGCCACTTATATGATAGGCAGAGAGATATACAATAGGGACTACCCTATTGGCGTACCATATTCTCTATTCCAGGGTAAGAAAATTAAAAATCTGATTCAGTTCTGAGTCAGTTATGTAATGAAAAAATATTAGACACGATTTTTTTATTTTCTCGTATAAAGTTATAATACTTAGATAAAATGGAATTAAGTTTAGGAATGGGAGGTAGTTACGTCACATGATTTCAAATCAATATATCGTCGAAAGCATTGAATTTTGTGAGAAAAGAAAAAAATACGTGTCTAATAATTTTAAAATAATCTACCACACAGACATTAAAATAAAATTTAGGAAACTACCCTATTGCTTCGATTCTCACCTCTTTCGCTTTATCAACAGTCATCATGTCATCAGTCTTTTCATGCATGCCCGTCGGTTAAGGGTGCTTTTAATTTGGCCCTTCTTTAATATATCGCCAATATGTCGATCTAGGGCGCCCTTTACCGACGACCCCTCTCTCTCTGTATACGAGTTTATTTACCATCATTATCAACTTCTTATAATTATAACTTTATACTTACTTTGTATAGTATTGTCACTATCACGGCAAGCACTAACAGGCCGAGAAGCACACAAATCAATATTAATTTCCAAGTTATACTTTCAGGCTCCAGAATCAATCGGGTTGTCACCTCGTAATTGCTGTAAATTGAGAAAACAAAACATTACAATACGAACATGCGTCTGTATTTATTTATTTATACTCTATTGCACACACAGAAAAAAAATTGTAAACATTGCAATAGTAATTTGAGTACAATGGGTGGTATTATCACACGCGGCGATTTCTTCCAGACAACCTTTGGATGGAATTTTTGAGACGAATCTGGGAATGGGTGGTAGATGCACAATAAAAGAAAACCAAAATAGAAGAAAAACAAAAAAAAAAAATACAAATTAAACAAGTGTGTGTGAGTGTGAGTGTCTGTACGATGTTCAGTTTTATGAACCGTACAAGATGTGAAATGAATCTATCTATACATATAATGAAATCGTAGAGAAGTCAAGACTGTACATCGAATATTTTTTTAAAAGAATACTTTTACTACATATTATTCTTACACTACGTGGTCTTCAGATAATGAAGCCAAAATATGGTTTTTAGAATTTTTGTCTGTTTGTCTGTATGTATGTCGGGGATGATCTTATAAGGTACGGCATGGATTTACTTCAAATTTTGTATGGTATGATTGTTACTAACAGGTCGGGTCAATAGGTATATAGGCGACATATTATCACGCTATCACCTACGAGGTAAGCGTAGTAAATCACCATTCCACGCGAACGAAGTCGCGGGAACAGCTAGTGTTAAATAAAAATAAATTAGGTATCTGAAAGTTGAGACTACTTTTGTTTGTCCTGTGATTACAAGCATGAAGTGCGATGACTAGGTCAAAATAAAGTAACTATGATTAAGATTTCAATTTTTTAAATTGGTACTATGCACAATCTGTGTCCCGTATGACACAATCTCTGTCCCGTATGACATAATCTGTGTCCCTACAAAAAGGTTCGTTAATGATAAGGAGTCCCATGAATTAGACTTTGTGCTTATTCGTGGAAGTAGTCACCAGTTGGTCAAAAAATCACAATGCAGTTAATTTTATCAATACTGAGAATATTTAATATTGTATGAATGAATAATAAACACAAACAGAGATAACTTACAGAAAAACAAAGTAATAAAATAAATATATTAAACAAAAATGTAACGAAATGAGTTTGTACATACAAGCCCATCAAGCTATCATGGTCTGTCCATGTTGTTCAACACATTCTCGACTTAATTGTAAACTATTAAGGTTGATAATATCTATTAAAAGTATGATTACTCTAGGATAGCTTAATGTGCTGGCATTTATACTAACATAGATACGTTTTACTTACGTAGCTTTCTTTTTGAAGAGAACAGTAACTTTAGTAGTAGCGTTATAAGTAGTATTCTCTAAAAGGTAATTCCCTGAAAATATAAAGAGGGAATAGAAGTAAAATTGAAATCAAATGGAAAACTGCCCTTATTACATACGGCATACAGTTTAAAACTGATTACAACATAACATAACATAACATGACGCCTTTTATCCCCGAAGGGGTAGGCAGAGGTGCACATTTTGCTACTGTACAATGTAACACCCACTTTTCACAATTTATGGTATGAGACTGCCTCGTTGGCCGAGTGGTCGCAAGCTGGGCAAGGGATCTCGGGATCAATTCCCGGGTCGAGCAAAGTATTACTGGGTTTTAAAAAAATCTCAGAAGAAGCACGATGTCTGGAATCGTGCCCGGTATATGGCAATAGGCTCACCCTCTATTACATGGGACTCATAATAAAGTGGGTGTTACATTGTACAGTGGCATAGTGTGTACTTCTGCCTACCCCTTCGGGGATAAAAGGTGTGATGTTTTGTATGAACGTTACGACTAATAGGACCCGAGCAGCGAGTTGAACCGCGGGGGAGTATCTAGTAACAAGAAATTACCTTCTTTACTAAGATCTATTTGCAGAGGAACATAAACCGGATGGGACACTTTCGCTGGTACCGACCAGATATACATCCATTGATTAGGCGCCTCAGTCGGTACACAACCACTGATGTTGGTGGAAAAGGTTGTCTGAAAAATGAAGATTCTAATGAAACCGGTAAATTAAAGTGTGGGAGAGCCATGCTTCTGCACGAATGGGCCGGCTCGACCGGAGTGATACCACGGCCTCACAGAAAACCAACGTGAAATAATGCTTGCGTTGTGTTTCGTCGTGTGAGTGAGGTTACCGAAGGCCCAATTACCCCCCTCCCTAGTCCCCGTCTCCCGAATCCCTGAATCCTCCACAATCCTCAAATTCCCAATTCCCAAAAGGCCGGTAACGCACTTGTAACGCCTTGGTGTTTCGGGGTCCATGGGCGGCGCCGATTGCTTACCATCAGGTGATCCGTCTGCTCGTTTACCGGCTTATGCTATAAAAAAACCCTAAATAATTTCCATCATAATAGGCTTTGATTAGATTTACATAAAGCGAACTACGAATTAGACAATTACATTACAACATTCTTCAGTAAAATGAAACACAAAAAGAAAAGCGAAATATCTGTGGACAAAAATCACGGCATGAATTAATGACAAACTAAACTCACTTTATCTGGTATTGTAATATAAACTTCTAAAGCAGATGTATCAGATGGACCAAGATTTGTAATCTGAAATAAAAAACGATAGTTACTATTCAATAGAAAGTACCCACTTTGCTAAATTTTATTTAACCCCTCGAGCATCCTTTTGAGCACCCGGTGAATCATACGAAAAAATGCTCCAAATGTCACGTGTGCACCCGTTGGATCATAAGGAACGCAGACGCTCGACGGGTTAATGCCAATCTGGTAGTAGATTAATTTAAAACATTAGACACGTATTTTTTATTATCTCACAAAATTGTATACTTTTGACGGTATATTAATTTGAAATATAGTGTGACGTCACGACGTCCCACTCTAAAATTTAACATCATGTTATCTAAGTATTGTAACTATGTACGAGTAAATAAAAAAATGCGTGTTTAATATTTTTTCTTTATATAATTGATGGAGATTTTTAATTTTTATACCCTGACAGGACTACCCTTGAAATCATCTGATCAATTATTTAATATATTATATATATTTACCTGAAAGTAATGTTTAAATGTAAAGTTTGATCCAGCTGCTAAACTATCTCTTGGAATCGATAGCGTTGCATTTGGCATTGCTTTTCTAGAAATAAAAAATAATACTTTAGAAATAACAGCTAAGACATCAACACAACAAAAATCAGCCCTAAGTCATTTCAAACAAAGAAAAGATAAATAAATTGCAAACTTACCCACTAACACTGAAATCAGCTTCATGTTCAACACTGATAAACAAATCAGTGACATTATCGTCAGTAACATGTCTGTACAGTGGATCACTTAATTCAACTCTAATGCCAAATAGAGTGTCTCTCGTATCATTCGCATCATAATTCATTTCATAATCTAGTTCAATATCCCAAACAATCTTTTCACCTCTAAGCAAAGGTGAAGGGACATCACAGGTCATTCGTTGAAATTCTAAGGAACATTCGCTAGGTATTCTTTTAGGTGATATTGGTAGGGAAATGTTGACTTTAGCAGCGTATGCTGGTTCTTCTTCGTTCACTATTGTTATTCTTGCTCCTAGAGTTCCGTTGCTTCCTGGCACATAGGGACTGAAATAGTAGATTAATTAGTATGTAAGGATAAAAGAACAATAATTAAAAAAAGTAAACTTAAAAATAATGTGATAGCAAATGAGCATCCAGCAATTTTGGCACTAGTGAAATGTAGCAAAATCCTTAAAATAGGGTAGTTTCCAGGGTATCAAAATAAAAAATATTATTAGTCCGTCAGTTAGATAATGAAAAAATATTAGATACGTAGTTTTTTATTTCTTCGTATTAAGTTGTAATACTTAGATAAAATGGCGCTAAGTTGAGGAATGGGAGTGGTTGGATGGTCACGTCACGTCATGGTGCCACAAAATGTGGCACGCTGTGACGTCACACGATATTTCAAATTAATATATCGTCGAAAGTATTCAATTTTGCGAGAAAAGAAAAAATACGTGTCTAAAGTATTAAATAAATGTACCAGACGGACATTAAAATAAAATTTAGGATAATTAAAATTTACCCTATTCTACAAATATCTCTAAGAGATCTACGGATCACAGTTTAGTCAATTTTAACAGTGATAAGAAAGATAGATTTTATTTTGTACTAATACCATTGTGATAGATATCTTACTTATTCAAAGCTTCTAATGTCAAGTCTAGCCAAGGAGTGCAAATCAGGTCTTCACCACAGTCCCTCATTAGTTGAATGAGAAACGAAGTCTCCAAAATCGACTCTTCTGATAATCTTGCAGCATTCATCAAAAATGTATTCGAATCGTCTGAAATAATGTCCAAAATCAAATGGATTTATCCACTTTTTAATCTTGGTCTTTAAAGATTTCGTTCTATATCTATTGACAAAGATTATGTACTACTATAAAGAATAGCTTTTTTATGGAATAAGCCAGACTATAAAGAATATCTTTTTTATGGAATAAGCCAGTTGACGAGCAAACGAATCACTGATGGTAAGCAATCGGCGCTGCCCATGGACACCCGAAACACCATACAAGTGCGTTATCGGCCTTTTGTGGATTAGAACTAATAGATTAATTTGAGTATTATTGGATGATTGGGCCTCCGGTAACCTCTCTCGCACGACGAAACACATCGCAAGTGTTTTTTCACGTCGGTTAGGCCATGGTATCACTCCGGTCCAGCCGGGTTATACGTACCGAAACATGGCTCTTACTGATTACTTACTTTCGAATACAAAAAAATATAACCTTGCCTGACCTAAGGACCCTTTTTACTTAACGATTATTCAATCAACTTGATAATTTAATTTGTTACTATTGTAATGTTTACCTTTCATCAATTCATCAGGTTCTAGTTGGAACACCAATTTGATTGGCTTCGATAAATCAGCAGTTGGCTAGAACAATACACAAAACCATTAATCCTTAATTAACAAACGATTTTAGACTTTATAATCAACGACTACGGTATTATTTTCTTTAGCACTTACGTTTACTTCAATTTCTTGAACGTCGCAAGTTTCAATGCCTGGTGTTACACGGACGTTATATTTAGCATCTCCTGATATCATGGCTCTGTTCGATTCAAAATCAGCTTCAATGTTCGCAATAATATCTAAAAAATTAATTCAGATGACAATAATTAATTCCAAATCATTTTGTTTTAAGTGTGATGATATGACGTGTATTTTATTTCCCGTGGGAACAGATAAAGGATATCATTTCTTTTATGGGAATACCATCCAAATTTTGATCGGTTACTGACAATAATCAGTAAAGACCCAATAGTTTTTAACTCCTCAGTCCAAGAAGCGTCCATCCAGTCTATTGCCGGAATACTGAAACGCTACTCAAATTTAAGACGCGCTTAAGTATAGTTCTATCTTTACAAATTCTTTGTAAAATGACGGAGATGGCACGATATTTGAGTACAACTGAAAATTGATTAGCCTTTCAGTATTCGGGGGTATGTGCCACAGTACTTTTTATAAAGTGAACAATTCAAAATGCGTCGGATAAGGTACTAAGCATATAGAATGAGAATACTTACTAAGTTCTACTTGAGGCCAAAGTTCCATAGAAGGAGATGATACACAGAATTCTGCTTGGAAACTTGTAGTATTGTACGGCAGGTTTATTGCATTAGGAACCTTGATTGATGCGTGCACTTTGATTGTAGGAATACCTCGGTAGACATATACCGTTTGACTATTGTGAGCTCCAATGGCTAGATCTGGTAAAATAAAAAGAATATTTAACTCTTTGAGTACCGTCATTATAGACATAATTAAAGAACAATAGGTCGGGTCACCGGTGACCGATCGGCGTTTGATAGTTTAAAAAAAGTCGTGGTGGCCCTGAGGCTTAAGACGTCCGCTTCTCATGCACAAGGGTGCAGGTTCGAAACCAACGAACGGCAAGTACCAATGTGACTTTTAATAAGTTATATGTATGTACTTTCTAAGATTATTTAGACACCACTGACAAACAGTGAAGGAAAATATCGTGAGGAAACCTGGGCTTATAATTTCTAATTACAAGTAATTGGACCATGGATTGAAATTCCAAATCTAAATCTCAAAAACTACTGGTCCTATTACAATGAAACTTGGAACTTTAATGTTCAATATAAGTCGTATGTTAATTTGCCTGCAGTGGACTTTACGCTGTAGGGCAGATGGGTGAAATTAGCTTGAACCGATATGATACATGTGAAAATTTATGAGTGTGTAAATTTGTCTGTATTTTTGTTGCTCAATCACATTAAAACAGCCGAAGAGACCGGGATGAAATTTGGAACAGTGATAGATTATGGTATGATTTTGTACCCTTTTTTTAAGGGGGGAAATACATTCAATGACTTCTCACGCCCGGGTAAGACGAAAGGGAGTGTCAGACTCTTACTGACTAAAAAACACCTCGTTCCTACTCCTGCATATCGAACCGGAGCCCCGGCAACCCGTTAAGCCCTCCTCAGCTCCGTGTCGATATCAGCCCTATTGGACCCCATCTACTTTTTACCTCTGAGAACGCGGACAAAGCCGATAGCAGAAGCTAGAATAAATAAATTATGACCTAATTAAAATATTCATCATAACACAGGTATCTCTTACCGCTACAATTATTCTGGTCAATATCAACGCCTTTAGATATTGACCATCCAAAACCTCTAGCCGACTTTGTCTGTATTCGTTGTACGTTATCTGTACAAAGCCCTTTTGAACATCCTCTATAAATATAAACCGCTCCGATGCCGTCATCTTCCCATGGTGCTCCAATGGCTACGTCTGTAAAATACCAAAAGGAATTAAAGTTTCTAAATGACATATTACTCTACGGTCCAAAACTTTGTGAGTGTGATACAGCAGAACAAATATTGGGAATGATAACTGGTTTATTTATAGTGATACCACAGTGATGACACTTTGTTATTTTCATTAAACGCTAGGCAATTTGTATTTTAGATTCCTTATTATTTTTCCCTTAAAACGCTCATGCTATCTAACATAACATCACGCCTCTTATCCCCGGAGAGGTAGTCAGCGGTGCACATTACGGCCCTTAATGCCACGTACAATTTTAAAAACCCTTTTCCGGGAATCGAACCCGAGCCCCCTTGTCCAGCAGTCGTATTTGCTACCACTCCGTCGGCGAGGCAGTCAGAGGCAGTACCTCAGGGACTAAAATTAATATCAAAATAAACTATAAATTAGGCAGTAACGATCAGTATACCTTTAAATCCATTGCCATCAATGTCTCCAAGATCAGCAATTGTCAGTCCAAACCATGCTCCATTAGTGCCAGATCCTGTCACAATACCACTTTCTACTAAAATGAAACTAAAATCCTGCAAAAAAGTATACAGATTTGAAACTTTCGATTAAAATTTTATGATCTGTAGAGTATAAAAATTAATGGTTTAATTAGCATTATTCGTGTGCAAATTGACAAGAGACTCCTGCCGTGTTTCACGAATAGATTTATTTAAAAAAGTTTTCTCGGCATCTTTTAAACATTAAATTACTTTTAAAGAGAATGCTTCAAATTTTCTTGCAGTAGTATACACACTCATCAGTTTAATATAATACATACCCTATCATGGTAACCTACCATATTAAAACCAATACATACCTTTTCTTTAGACAAATACACAAAAACAGCTCCTTGATCATAAGGTAGACCACCATCATCCTTCACATACGTAGGTGCTCCAACTAGTAAATCATCAAACCCATCTCCATTCAGATCTGTGCAGCAGACACTGGCTCCGAAGTACGAGCCGGTTTGTGGACCTTTAATTTTGGCCTTGATGGTTAAGCTTACAAGCTCTTCTGTTGGTGGAACGAATATGATTACCTGGAAAAGGTAGTTTTGGTAGAATAATTGCTAAAAGAAAATATAAGTGAGGAGATACTCAAGGTACTTTGGGATTGGTTCAAAATATTTTCGGAATGTAACAGTTGAAAATATGTTTGATAAAAGACAAGGTCTTTGGTGTTATTATTATCAAAGTCAAAATCAAAACATTTATTTTAATTAAACCATAATATGGTACGTTGGAAACGTCAATAAATACAAAATAAATGATAGTCTATCAGTCAGTCCATCAGTGAAGCTAGGTTCTCATACCAATATGTAGATTCGGATGGCGAAGAACGAGAAAGAAACTCCATTCGTTACTCTTATAAAAGTATGTTCTCTGTTACATATTCCAATATGGTACCTACGCATATGTGAGAACAATGCAAAGGCACAAATTACAAAACTTACTAAAATAAAAAAAACAAAACAAAAAAATATTCTATTCTAACATGGTGCTCACATATGCATACTGACCACTACCATATTACTTATTTCTCACTATTTGATAAAAATACAAGTAACAGAAGAAAAGAAGGCCATTTTACTAACCTGACCACTAGCAATGTTATATCGTGGAGCCCCAGCCACATACATCACCTCGCCTCTACTGTCGAATATTCCAGAGTCGACGCTGTAACCTAAAACAAAAAACCACTTAGAAGGAGGTCCTCATTCTGACATTATAGATTCAGGATGTATATCCGCAATAATCTCACGATCTGTTAAACCAATTCTGGTCTGGTTTTTCAAAACACATAGATTTTTCTATGGTAATATGACTTAATTTCTTAGTTTCGCGTTTTAGGATTTAAATAAATATTTACCACAGCCTCGTTGGCCGAGTGGTCGCAAGTGCGACTGCCGGGCATGGGGTCTCGGGTTCGATTCCCGGATCGGGCAAAGTATTACCTGCTAGGTTTTTAAAAAATTCTCAGTAGTATATGGCAATAGGCTCACCCCTTATTACATGGGACTTATAACATAAATAGTGATAAGTGGGTGTTACATTGTACAGTGTCATAATGTACACCTCTGCCTACCCCTTCGGGGATAAAAGACGTGATGTTATGTAAATACCAAAAATTTACCAAAATATTCATCAGGTCCCAAGTCCTTGGTGAAGTAAGGATTCATTGTAGGCAACTTGTTCGTGTAGGTGCCAGTATCATTAGGAAAAAACGATAGACTTATGACGCCACCTGTAATATAAAAAACATTACCATTATAAATAAAACTAGATCGAAAAAGGTACGCCAATTGTAACGTATCACTATATAGGGATGATAACAGGGTGTGAAAAGTAATGATCAGTCAGTTAGGTCATTAAAAATATCTATTTGACGGCGTAGCCACAGCGTCTATTATTTTTTTTGGAACTAGGATGATATCCAGTCACAGAAGTCATTCTGACGGAGCGTCATATCGAGAACAGCGCCGCCATATTTTTGAACCAGACTACGGTTATGAATCGCGTGCGCGAGACATCACCGACGAACCGTCAAAGTTCCACGCAATCTTATTATTTTTCATAAAGTTAGAGTTGGATTAGTGATGATTATGACTCGGTGTTTTATCTTAACTATTATATGCCCAAATACCCACGCAGTAGCCGATCCTGATGCAGGCGGGGAAATGCTTATATATTATTTTTTTGGTTTAAGAAATTAATACCTACTTAGGTAATACGAATGAAAGTTGCGTCATTTTTGAGAACAGAACGTACCTGAAAGTGGCGTTCACCAGTTATAATATAACCTATTCAATAGAAGACGAACGTATGTCTATATACACTTCGTCTCTTCTTCATAGCATCAACAGTCCATAGTCTATCTACTGGATTATGAACCTCCTCTATTATAAGAAATTTTGCCATGACATCTTCGCTTAGAAAGTCCAGTTTTTTTTATATATTAGATGGGGCTGACGTTTGACCACTATCTCGCCTGGTGGTAAGCGATGATATGGCCTACGATGGAGCCTGTTGTCTCATAAGCAGCCTATTCACTCGGGCTTTGAAGACACCCTTCAGGAAATACAGACTCTGGCAAAGAATTCCACTCCTTAGCAGTACGCACAAGGAAGGTTGATGCGAAGCGCTTCGTGCGTGTGGGTGGGACATCTACCATGAATCGGTGACACTGCGCCGATTGTTTAAATATAATATAACATATTCCAGTTTAAAATATTTAGGTTTTTCAGAGATTATTTATTGTTGCCTAGTGGGCTCCCTGCTCTTTGCGTAACGTGTAGTCTGCTGTTACGATATCCGCGGGGAAGAACAGAGATGGTGAATAATTTAGTAATTTTCTTCTCAGTCAACATATGGCGAAATAAACTATAATGAATTGGTTGTATTTACTTACCAGTCCATTGTAGAAGACCAGGTGCTCCAAGTATAACCGTGTTCATCTTGCTAATAGCTGCTGATATTCCAGCTTGACCATATGCGTAGAAATTCAGGTGGGTACCATATGCTCCATACTCTCGCCTACTTCCATGAGTGACGTAAGCTTGATGATCTAGAACATTATAACTCTCGTTAGATATATGGGAATCTATACAGATAAATTAAATTGGAGTATCTGTTTGTTATATTTAAATAACCGCGTTGCATGATGAAGCCATAAAATATCAAACTTACTATAATCTTTTAAACAATGTAAGGGTCGGTTTCCTCTCCTTGTCTGCAGTAAACTTACACCATTCATCAATAGATGTTTCGTCCCATAAGGAGATGTCCATCTTGGGGCATTAACCTGAAAATTATTCACAAAAATGAGTATTCATTTACTCAAAGTCATAATTTTCTGGGCCTAGACTACACTAATATATTTTCTTTTAAGGGGGGAAAATCATCGAATGACTGCTCCCGCCTGGGTAGGAGTGACAAGGGAGTGTCAGACTCTTACTGACTAAAAACCACCCCGTTCCTTCTCCTGCACGTCGAGCCGGAGCCCCGGTTACCCGTTAGGTTCTCCGCGACTCCGAATCGGCATCGGCCCTATTGAGCCCCATCTGTGGTGGTCTGATGGCTCTTAAAGGCGCGCGCGGAACGCGACGCGCCGTACGCTCGGGTCTGTTTCTGGTCAGACGGGGAGCCACCCATGCTCGCCGTCCGCAGGCCCGCGCTTACGGTGGCCGGAGATCGTCCCGCGATCCCCGACGCCCGGTGTGTCCTTCGCGATGGCTGGGTTGCGAGGAGACTACACTAATATAGCGTTATTTCAATTCTACTGATATTCTAAAGACAAAACTATGTGAGGTGAGATTTGTTACTCTTTCATATCAAAAGAGCAGACAATTGAGAATGTGGAACAAGGGTAGATTAAGGTTGGATTAACATGGGTAAAGCCACTGGCAGAAGCTAGTTACTTATAATATTTAAGGATTAACTAACAAGCTTTACAATACGTTCCAAAAATGATATCGGAACTGCATGGTTGATGCACTGTGTGTGTTGATGTCTGTGAACTCTTTGTGCGATCCATAACTAAAAAACTGTATTGTGTCCCTGATTGAGAAAGAGTAACTTACGAAGTCTCTTGCTCGTTCTTCTCCATAGGAATATACACCTTAGAATGAGCAAATAGCTTCACTTTTAAATTTTTTGTTGCCGTTCAAAACTGCCTGTCTGTTCTAATTGATATAAATGATTTTTGACTTTGACTTTTCTAAGTAAGATTTTTTGTTTTTTTTTTTACATAAAACGTTGCCGCACACTAGGATTTTCTCCTGTGTCGTGGGTGCGTTTACAAACATACAAGTTCACATGCACATGACACCCAGACCTGGAACAACGATCTGTGGATCACACAAAGATTTTTTCCATGCGGGAATCGAACCCACGACACATTGCGTGGCAGTCAGTTGTCCAACCACCGCGCCAACCTTGCAGTCACTTTTTGCCTTTTGGCCATAAATTGATATCGGGTCTACGTGTCATGATGTCTATGTGAATTTATACGTTTGTAAACGCACCTAAGATAAAAGACATGTGTGATAAGATCATAGGAACATACCAAAAGTCGTCCTCCAGGTAGCAGCACCATAGACGCTCCATACCACATGTCATCTCGAAGGAAACCAGGCAACAATCTATTGAGCATGTTATCATTACCTGAAATCATCAAACCGTCGGCCCATCAAATATATAAAAAAGTATAATTCGATTATTATTATTTTTTGTGTATATGATTATGTTTTTGTGATGTAAATTGGCATGTCTCTTGTTTTTGTACTTATATTAAATTTCAGACACAATTTAAATTGTTAAATGAATAAATAAATGAAAAATATGTAACCACAGAGCGTTACTGAATTACTATAATATACTTATTCACTTATTTGACTGCCTCGTTGGCCGAGTGGTCGCAAGTGCGACTTCCGAGCAAGGGGTTTCGGGTTCGATTCCCGGACTAAGTAATACGGGTTTTTCAAATAAAAAATCTCAGTAGTAGCATGGACTCTGGAATTGTTCCCGGCATATGACAATAGGTTCACCCCCTATTACACAAGACTCATAACATAAATAGTAAATAGTGGGTGTTATGTTATACAGTGACATTAAGTGCCGTAATGTGTACTACTTCTGCCTACCTACTAAAGGCGTGATGTTATGTTAACTTATTTATATAAAATATAACCAAACATATGTTTGGATAATTATTTTAATATTTTTTTTATTTTAATATTTTAATTAGTAATAAAGAGCATTTAACATGGCACGAGGTTCCGTACAAAAAAGGCCAAAATAGAAACTACTACCTATATACGTACTTACCTATATGTATGTATAGGTGATTACGTAATACATTATTATTAAAATACATATATAATATACATAATTTGATAAAATGCTGACACAATGTTTTGGAATAAAATTGCACATTGTTTGTTAGCAAATTAAATTATTTCGTTGACTATTTTCGGTGCTGATATCAAAACTACGCATATTTATTATTAAATTTGATCTTAACAAAATGTAGCATAACGTGACAACTTTTAATCCCCGAAAAGGAAAAAGAGGTGGACTTATAAATGAATGACACGATTTAAACACCAGTTTATAAGGGATAAGACTCCTGCATGGAACAACTTTTTGTGTGATCCACAGATTGTTGTTCCGGGTGTCACGTGTATGTGAACTTGTATGTTTGTAAACGCACCCACGACACAGGAGACAATCCTAGTGGGGGTCAACATTTATTATCAAAAAAAATATGATACCGACTACGAAACTGATTCGATTTTTGTTCAATGACAATTCTAATAGCACATAATTTTCGGAAAGGTATCTGATTAGTGGAAATTGTATCTACATAAGTTTAAAATCCTTCGCGTCCTATGCGGTTATGAACGGCAAATATTTATATTTATGTTAAGCTAATTAGCTACTAGTAATTATACTCGTCCTTCTTATCAATAGTCGATATAAATAGAACAAATGAACCACCATTTAGTAAGATAAAGGGCGAACTAGTCATGACCGACCATTTTATTTTGTTATTGAGTTTTATTAAACAAATAACAATAATTGATTAAAATTAATTGTTTTATTACAACGGTGATTCATAATATGTATATGGGGACAATAAGAATGTTTTATTTCCGTTAAAATAATACCTAAAGATAGAAGGGACTTTTGTTTATTTTAAAATTATTAGTCTTAAACCCGCCACAGAGTAGATATATATTATTACTCATACCTACGTAAATAACAGCATATTATGACTCGTACGACTAACAGTTTACTGGAAGTAACCGGAGTGATACCACGGCCTCACAGAAAATCGACGTGAAGCAACGCTTGCGTTGTGTTACGTAGTGTGAGTGAGGTTACCAAAGGCCCAATTACCCCCCTTCCTAGTCTCCCGAATCCCCGAATCCTCCATAATCCTCAAATTCCCAATTCCCAAAAGGCCGATAACGCACTTGTAACGCCTTGGTGTTTTGGGTGTCTATGGGCGGCGCCGATTGCTTACCATCAGGTCTGCTCGTTTACCGGCTTATGCTATGAAAAAAAGAAAAAGTTTATGGTTGACAATACATTACCTGATCTTCCAGATCGCTTTACAGCAGTACAAGATCCAAACTTCGCATCCAAGTTGACTAGTGAACAATTAAACACCATTCCAGTTTTGATTCCCGCCGAGGACTCTTTGGGTTCTTTAGCTTTTGGAGCACCAACTAGTAGACTGTAACAATAAAAAAACTTAAGTGCGTTTACAAACATAAATAATACACATCCGATAAAGGTGCTTAGTATTGAACCCAATCTCAATGTCATCATCATCAACAGCCTATAAATGCCCACTGCTAAGCAAACCCTCTTCTCACACGGAGAAGGTTGGAGCATTAATCACCACGCTTGCTCAATGCGGGTTGGCGATTACAAACTTATAATTAGAAATTATTATACCCAGGTTTCCTCACGATGTTTTTCTTCACCGTTTGTCTGAATAATCTTAGAAAATACATATAACTCGGAAAAAGTCACATTGGTACTTGCCGTTGGTAGGTTTCGAACCCGCACCCTCGTGCATGAGAAGCGGGCGTCTTAAACCTCCGGGCCACCACGACATTGTGCACGACTAACGGTCAATGCAATTTCAATCCAATAAAATCTCAATAATTATTCAATGTCAAAACTATATCGTAGCTGTTATAGCATACAGCAATAGCATTCAGAGTACGGATATATAAAGCCAAACTCAATACTATTTAGTTCACTCAATATCCACGCAATACGGAAGCAATGGGCTAGTGTTGCAATTGAAGAGTACGAAATTTCACAATACCTTTGTCAATCGATCGGAATTGGATTCAAAAGTAAGCTCCAAGATAAGTACGGTGCCACTCAATCGAGAATCGATCCCAACCACTTTAACCACGAATCGATTGTTGTGTACCAAATATCGAACAAATCCAGACTGCACCCTGCTACTTAATACCATTATCACATCAATCACGCAGTCAGTTGAGTGTGCGGGAAATTGGACAACTTGATTCTCCCTAGTAATTTCCATCATCGTACCACAAGACAATCTGCAAAGCGACACCGATTCATGGTAGATGTCCCACCCACACGCATCAAGCTTCCTTGAGAGTACCGCTAAGGAGTGAAATTCTTTGCCAAAGTCTGTAAGTATTTCCTGCAGGGTATAACTTGGGTGTATTCAAGGCCCGAGTGGATAGGTTGCTTATGGGACGACGTGTTCCATCGTTGACCGCATCATCGCTTACCACCAGGCGAGATAGTGGTCAAACGTCGACCGATCAAATACATGTGTGTAGATATGTGTCTAAACTAGAAATATAACTTCACAGGGCAACCAAACTGGCCATGTCAAATCATACAATTTTTCAAATAGGTATGCAATAAAATAACAGTCATTTAATAATATTTTTTCAAATGAGTCGTAGTGGAGGTTTAAAGCAAATGCCCATTCAAGTCATAAGAGAGCGGGTTCGAAACCTACCAACGGCAAACACTAATGTGACTTTCCCGATTAACGTACATAATACCTTCTAAGCTAGACCACCACTGAGAAACGGTGAAGGAAAACATAACATAAGATAACATTATGCCTTTTATCGCCGAAAGGGTATGCAGAGGTGCACATTACGGCACTTAATGCCATTGTATGTAATGAAGGAAAACATCGTGAGTAAACCTTGGCTTATAAATTCTAATTATAAGTTTCAAATCGCCAATTTGCATTGGGCGAGCGTTGGTGAATTATACTCAAACGTTTTCCGTGTGAGAAGAGGCTTTTGGTCAACAGTCGCCACTTATGACGACAAAATTTTTTAAACGTTAAAATTGCGGTGCTTTTTAACGATTACGGGTTGAGGTTGGACTGATAATATTATACTACTTAATTAAAGCATTTTAAAGGCAAAACTAACAATATGTTTGGACAAGCCCACCCCATCCTCCCAAAATAGCTGCAATTCCTGTAAACCAGGATCTACAGTAGATACAACCATGAAAACACCGGAACACTGAAATCCAATGCATTCCAGAGACGTAGATAAATGTCTTAGAATCCCGTAACGAAATTAATAAGAAGATATAATTATACAATGAATGCCTCGTTGGCCGAGTGGTCGCAATTGCCGGGGTTTCGGTTTCGATTCCAGGGACGGACAAAGTATTACTGGGCTTTTAAAAAAAAATTACAAAAAAAATTGTATTAGCACGGCGCCTGAAATTGTGCCCTGTATATGGCAATAGGCTCACCCCCTATTACATGGGACTCATAACATAAATAGTGAAAAGTGGGTGTTACATTGTACATACATTGGCATCAAGTGCCGTAATGTACACCTCTGCCTACCCCTTTGGGGATAAAAGGCGTGATTTTATGTTATATTATGTTAATTATGCAATATACATTTTGCAATATTAAAAGTACCGGTTGCATTAAAAATAAATTATTATTAAACTTGAGCTTGAATTCAAAATGCTATAAAATAGTCAACTTACCCATCTGGACTTAAAATGATGGAAAAACCAAAATATTCGGCATCGTATTCCGGTCGGAATGTTATACTGGTCTTCTCATGGAACACATGACTTGATGTAGAAAGATGAATAAATAATACTAATACCACAGACAATACTGATTCTTTAGCCATTTCGGTTAAAATCTGAAATAGACAAGTTTATTTGAACCTCATTTACTTCTTTTTTTATATTTTTCAGCCTATTCAGACTTTTAATAAAAAAAAGAATGTCGAACAGAGAACAAGTATGTTACTGTTAGTAAATCATAATATTTAACTACATGAATATGTATATGTGAAAACTTGTAATTGGCCTTAATTTAATCATAGTTATATATATAACTAGCGACCCACCCCGGCTTCGCACGGGTGCAATTTGCATGTATTTTACTTTATAAACATTCCTTAAAAACACTCTATCTAGGTATTTTAAAAAACTGCATCAAAATCCGTTGCGTACTTTTAAAGATCTAAGCATACATAGGGACAGACAGACGGCGGATATCGACTTTCTTTATATTATGTAGTGATTGTTAATTTTAACTGTAAGTTTTCAAAATGTAAAAATAAAATACCTAAAATAAAATAAAATTTACATATCGATGTAATTTAAAAAAGAATTTATAAAACATATTAAAAAAATGTACTGATCAAAATAATTTAATTGTTTTTGCTAATTCGCAATAAAAAATATTTTGAACACAAAATGCATTTCAAATGCCTGATAACATAAAAATAAACAAAGTAATTTCAATACTAATGCTTAAGTAAAACTTTAACACAGAAATAAAACAAAACAAAGGAATTAAATATAATTACTTACCACACAAAAACTATTTGTTCTATAAATTTTTCGCGCAAAAATACCGTCACTTACACAGTCACATTAAAATTGTATTAACTACTGCTTCACACAGCAACAACAATAATACTGAACTGCACAACTGTCCATGTACTATTTACGACTTTAAATGCAAACATTTAGGTATTTTATCCTTTGGCTAAATACCTAAATACACTCGAATCGCACTTATAAATATGACTACATTCTGTATTTATACTAAACACTGCACAATATTGCTGATTATTAATAATCCCGCCACAAACAAAATAAAATAATATTAACAAAAATACTTCCTTACATTTAAGTAAATAATAATACCGTTAATTAAATTTCCCATTTTCCTCTAACTATAAAATATAATCAGGTATAAATTTATCACAAATATCGTGTTTTTAATTAAAATAAATAACTTTAAACAAATATATCGTGTTTTTAGTTTAAATTCATATCAATGACTGTGGTAAACATTTACATGTACCTACACGACTAACGAATTGTTGTTAAGAATGGGGTTCAGTTTTAAATGGTCATTCTGTAGTCATTATAACAGTTTTGTTATCAGCGGGTACAACGTGATATGATTTAAGGATCATTTTGACTAATGGTCCTATTTGTGATATCTCGAATTTATACTAAATTCTAGTTTAAAATTATAACAAAAATAGAAAATTATTGTGTTTAGCAAATAGCTAGCTATATATTTCTAAATTAAATTAATTAATTCTAAAATATATCATAGGTATTACAAGCAATACCTATGATATATAAATCTATGAATAAAAACATATTTTCTAAAATGTTTGTACGCACGTAATTTACTTTTTTATTTCTTATTTCCTTTATTAGCGAATGAAACATTGTATATCATACTAGCTTCTACCAGTGGCTTCGCCCTTGTTACGGGGGGTAAAAAGTAGCTTATGTTATTACTCCAGGTTTCAAATTTCATCCTGATCCCTTTAGCAGTTTTGCTGCGACTGAGTAACAAATAGACATATAAATTTACCAATTTTCGCATTTCTAATAGCAGTACAAGCGAATATCGACCATCGGGCCTACAGATACAGACGAAAAAAAAATTAATCTCATTTTTCGGATTCGGTGTCTATCTAATAACAACCCCTACTTTTTTTAACATTTTTAATGTAGGTACAGAATTTACATATCTACAGTTTTTTAATGCAATATTACTTTTGGAGTTCATCGGTTATCGTATTACCTACTCATTTACCTACTCATACAGTTTGTAATCAAAGAACAATAACAAAGTGTATAACTCATATAATATTGCACACTATCAAATTCATTTATCATATTCTTCTAGAGCTGGAGTGAAATATGTACATACATACTAGCTGTACCCGCGACTTCGTTCGCGTGAAATTATTCATATTTATTGTTTATTTATAATTTTTTGACGCAACAACGTGTTGATTGTGACGTGGCGAGGCGCATTTGAGAGCTAATAGGAAACGGAACGTTTATTGTCTACTCAATGGTGACTGCAGTTTATCTGTCAGTGTCATTAAAATGAATTAATAAAACGAAATAATCTCCGTAATTCGAATTTTGTGGATATAAGTTGTCGACTCGAAATCGATATATTTTTATGTTTTGTTATTCAGGTAATGTTTCGATCGAGTCTACCGTACCCCTTGACGAAATTATTTTTTATGTACATATTTGTAATATTAATGAGGATTCTCTTAATTGAAGAGTACAATAGTATAATTTGCTAGCTACTTCCGCGCGGTTTTACACGCTCTACTCAGCTCCTATTTGTCGTACAGTGATGTTTTATAGCCTATAGCCATCCTCGATAAATGCGCTATCCAACACAAAAATAATTATTAATATCAGACTTGTTCTTACGGAGATTAGCAATATTTTATTTAATTTTTTTTATTAACTACATTTTAAAAATAGGACGCCAATCCCTTATATTTTTGAAGTCGTATAAATAATATACTAACAATACACTTTCTGGAAACCACATGAAAATCGGTTGAACCAATTGCGAGCCACTCGCACACAAACATACATACATCATCACGGTACATTTTAAGTCAGTTAATAATAATTATTTATGATTTTTTTATAGAATTGTAGGCAAACGAGCAGACGGATCACTTGATGGTAAGCAATTAGCGCCACCCATGGACACCCGCAACACCAGAGGAGACACAGGTGCGTTGCAGGCCATAATAAAAAATAAAAAGATAAAAAGGAATACGTTATTTTCTTAAAGATTTGAAGGTCGTGTCGGTTCGGAAATGCCGCCGACGACAGATCATTTCATAGTTTTGATGTACGAGGCAGAAAGTTACGTAAGAAGCGCACAATTGTGGCCTGCCAACCATCTACCTATATGATGGGGATGCTGTGAGGATAATATCGTGAGGGTCGATGACAAAAAAACAGAAAGCTGAATAATGATATCAAACCGGAATGTATGTAAAAATATACATAAAATTCAGAACTAGGGATTAACAGTGAGGTAATACCAAAAATATGATAATGAATGTCTATCGTAATGATAAGGGCATGACGTCACACTTATGATTCTCTGAAATTACTGATGAATGGACTTCATTTGACACCCACTTCTGTAATCGTATCATGTTATTAATGTACTGTTCGCAGTGGCTAGACAATCGATTGGTAAGTAATGTGTAATAGGTTTGATTCAAATCAAATATTTCCGATTCCCGCAAATTATTAAGACCCTGTTTAAGGGGCAAAATGGTTTCCCTATAAACTGTTAAGTCCTCTGTGGCTCCGCATTGCATCTGTGGTGGTCTTGTAGCTTTTTAAGGCTCGCGTAGATCGCGACGCAACGTACGCTCGGGAAATAATTGTAACCTGCAGTGTTAGGCTAGTTACTTATTGAATGACGCGTAGATATCTGCGCGCACGATTCCTAGAAGGTCATACATCTCGGCTGTCAGCACCGACGGTCAGCGTGTGGTCATTGCGACACTGAAACCAGCCTTAGTGGTATGTCACTGCTGGATAGAAGTGGACGGAAACTGACTGACGATGATAATTAAAGTAAAGCCGGTAACGCACTTGTAACGCCTGTGGTGTTCCAGGTGTCCATGGGCGACGCCGATTTACCGGCTTATGCCATAAAAAAAACTGTTTTTTGTGACTTACACATAATAGGGTAGTTGGCTAAATTTTATGTCCGTCTGGTACATTAATTTAAAACTTTAGACATGTATTTTTTATTTTCTTACAAAATTAAATACTTTAGAAAATATATTCATTTGAAATATCGTGTGACGTCACAGTGTGCCACATTTTGTAGCGCGTTATGACGTAGCGACCTCCTACTCCTAAACTTAGCGCCATTTTATCTAAGTATTGGAACTTAATACGAGAAAATAAAAAAATACGTTGCTAATATTTTTTCATTATCAAACTGACGGACTAATTAGATTTTTAATTTTGATACCCTGGAAACTACCCAATTGTAAGAATCGAATCTAATACTCTGTAATTCACAGTCACATTTTTATATACATATTATTTAAATTATTATTATAAACGACCATCAAACCCATAATGCAATATTGTATAATTGAGTTAAACAGTTCAATATAAGGATGTCTACGTCCGTTCAAGATAAAAGATTGTGACGACTATCATCTGGTGCTTGGGTGCAATACCATATTCATTGTTACAATGCTAATGACCTTTTAGGAAATGAGTTTTATCCTCGTGTCGAACGGTCGAAATGACGTAAGTACACAGACACGCTATAAAATAGCATTCTTGAACATGCTCCAAAATCGAACGCCTGTCTATTTGCAAACATGCCCGAAATAAATGCTAATATTAAGACATGCCATTAAGTTACAACTGCTCAATAGGGTAGATGCCTAATTTTTATTTTAATGTCCGTCTGGTAGATTATTTTTAATTCATAACTTTCGTGAGACATACTAAAAATATTATTATGTTTTCGACTTACTTCACGTCACGCATTTCGCGACTCGCGACGCGGCGACTGTCGCGCTGCTACTCATCATGAATATAAGCCTCTAGCATGGCTTGAAACTAGTCGAGTTCCTTGTCAAATTACTACGTGAGTAAGCTGAAAACATAATAATTTATTTATTTTAAATCATTAGACACATATTTTTTAGTTTCTTACAGTAACGAATACTTTCGACGTCACTCCTATGTACATACATTTTATACGTAGAAATGACTTTTTAGCCCCCACTCCAACTTTGATTCGTTTTATCTAAGTATTCTTTTATTATACGACAAGATAAAAAAT